GCTGATGGTATTGAAGTGGTTTTCTCAATTACTCCCATTGGTTTTGTCTTCATAACTATTAGCCAATCCTGTTTACCTCGTATTATGCTTGGATAGTTAGCATAATATATTTGAGTTGCCTGACTAGCAATGATGAATGGATCAAACTTTGCATATCTCCTACCCTGCTTTACTTCTGTTATACCATAAATTGGATGTACTCTTGTGCCTCTATTTTGTACTGGATCAATCCATTCTCAATTGAAGAAATACACAGTATTCCTGTGACCGGGACATTCCACCTCTAATATTTCTTGTAATACCCCATAATATTCAGAATCATCCCCTGTATGGGTGTTCCCTCTTACACATACGCCAGAATTTTCTGTCTTCCTACCTTCACACCAATTTTTTGTTTGAAATTAGTAACCATTGACCAGAAATATTTTATAATATTTGACTAATCTTTTGGTCCCCAAGCTAACTCAAATATCCCTGAATTCTACGAATCACTTTCTTCAGAGTGTACCTTTAAATGAATAAGATGTTATTATTAATAATATTAAGTAATTACATAAATAACTAATTAAGACTAATTATTCAAAATATACCGTATTTTTAAACCAAGCAGTGAATTCTTTCTCCACTATCTTCTGGACTTCTCTTTCTTCTGATGTACTTAAACCATCAAAGAACTTCCTACAAACCATTTTGAGTTTAGATTAAAGTTTATAAGAATAATGAAAATATGAACAAATTAACTCATACTTACTCGAGATACGGCTCAACGTCTTCACAGTTCAGCAATATATACAATGTGATAAGTGTCATCTCCTTATCGGTCAAATAGCATACGGTGCTTGCGCCTACAGGTTCACCACTTCCATAGAATATAGATATATTAGAGGATTTACCAATATTTTGAGGTATTCTACTTTCACCTGATTGAGATATTATTTCAAAATAATATGAGAAAAACTGAGTTGTCTCGTATGTTAAATATGCTTCACAGATAGAGCCTTTGGGTCGTGCTTTATTCTTAGAGGTCTTCTTAAGTTTATTTAAATATCTCTCAAAAGGATACATCCACCTATACTAAATAGGTCCACCAACCATAGACTCATATGGTAAATGAACTTGTAGATGCTCTATAGAGTCAAAGAAGCCTGGAGGAAATATCTTTTCAAGTTGACACAGAATGAAAGGAATTGCTGCTCCGTAGAAATCAAGTTCTCCACATTTAATTTAGAAGAGCATAAATCTTTGAAAAATACACTTAGCTCGATCAAGAGATTTAAAATTTGATCTGGCAGATAACTAAAAGCAGTTGATAGTAGATATTGCATGAAGATGTGACAATCATGACTTTCAATCCGAATAATCTCCCTGAACTAATGTAAATACACCTGCTTAGATTTGAAGAATATCCATCAGGTACTCGTAAGGTCTTCACCCATTCACAACTTGCTAATTTTTGCTCTAAAGTTAATGTGAATGGAGCTTTTGGTTTGAGTAATTTTTCACCTCCACCATCCTTTAATTCCAAAGCTTTCCTCCTACAAATCTCCTTTAAGTCCATCATTACTTTTATATTATCTTTGAATTTATCTTTGATGTCTATAACTATAATGAAAATGTTATCAAAAACATTTTTCTCTATATGCATAATATCTAAATTATGTCTAATCAGGTTTGTTCTCCAATATGGCAAAGACAAAAAAATACTTTTCTTGGTCCAATTATGGTTTACACCATATCCTGGCAATCTGAGCTCAGCTAATGTTGGAGAATCCATTATGGTGAGCATGAACCTGACTCTTTCAAAAATTTCTTCACTACTTAATCTTGGAGGAGGTTGAAACATCACCATTTTATTTTTAGTAAAGGATTCTTTATTTCGCCTAAAAGGATGACTTGGAGGTAAAAATACTCGATGACAATCAAATCAAGTGTTCTTTCTACCATACTTTAAAGTGAATGATTTTGTATGTTCCATACAATATAGACAAGCTAACTTGCCTTAAGTGTTCCAAACTAAGAGCATACCATATGCAGAAAAGTCCCCAATTATCCAAAGTAATGCTGCTCTTAGTGTAAAGTTCTTCTTGGTGGAGATATCATATGTATTACTCCTTCTTCTCATAATGAACTTAAATCATCAATTAACGGTTATAAGAATACATCAATCTTCACTTTTGGATTATATGGCCCTGTAATGATAAGTGAAAGAAACATATAAGGAGTAGTCATACACAACTCCGGAGGAAGATTGTAAGGAGTGAGTATCACAGGCCAACATAAGTACGGTGTAGCATACTAACTGAATGGAGTAAAACCATCTATGCATAAACCTAATATGACATTTCTTGGTTCTGCCGCAAATGTTGGATGTGTACGATCAAAGTGTCTCCAAGCCTCTACTTCTAATGGATGTGAGATAACACCTTCTTGTGGAATTTGATCATTATGCCATCTCATATGTGCAGCGGATCTCATGGATGCATATAGCCATTGTAATCTCAGAATTATTAGAAAGTATAACATCCTATTGACAGACACATCCTTCTACTTTCTTCTACTACCAAATTTTGGTTTAAACCTTGGTGTATTGCAATGACGGGATGTACTCTATGAGAAATCTTCTTTAAAGTATAGCATGCTTTGATTGACACAACAATCTACCTTTGTGTATGTCAAACCAAGTTTGGAAATTAACTTTTTTTTCCAATATAATCTGTAGGAATTAGATTATCTGTCAGATTAGTTTCCTTAAGCAGACCAATGAATTGATTAAAACATTCACGAGGAACATTATACTCTACCTTGATGCCTAAAATCTTCACAGCAACAGATAACTCTGAGTGAGTGGTGCACCCTCTCCAGATTGGTTGCTGGGCAGCATGCAATAAATCATAAAAATTCTATTCCTCCTTATTCTGTAACTCTTCTGTATTTTGTTCAAATTATATTCCAGTTGCATCATGAACTAATTCCTCAAGATTTGGTCGGATATTTTCAGCCTCAGCTATATTAGTGCTTGTAGAAGGACCGCATTGATAATCAAATTGTGGCTCGTACTCACCATGAGAAGTCCAATACTAATATCGTGGCATGAATCCTCTGCGATACAGATCAACAGTTACATCATCTGGTTCTAGGTGCACTAGATTTTTGTGTTTAGAACATGGACATCGAAACTTTCCTTCTGATATAAAGCTGGGTAGTTGTTTCGCTTGCTGAATGAAAATGTTCACCCTATTAATGAATTCATCTGTTAATGTCTTTCGACCTTGAGATAATCGGTTATACATCTAACTTCTTTGATTTCTAATATCCATAACCTACATATAAGAGCAAATAAGTAATGGATTATCACGCTTAAGTAGATCTAAAACTGGTTATATAGAGATATAAAAAGATAGGGTGCTTGTAGAAAATTATGATCATTTAGCATTGTCTCTAAGAGTAAAGACACTCATCCACGTACATGAGCATCCTCATCTCTGCAATACTTTTCTATCAATCACACAATAGGCCTGAAGCATTCCTCCACTATCACACAATAGGCCTGAAGCATTGCCTCCATTTAACATTGTCTCTAAGAGTAAAGACACTCAGCCACTTGAGCATCCTCATCTCTACAATACTCAACTTAATTTTTTACTTCCCTTTTAATGGCCAATATTATGTGCCATAAAGCATTGCAGGTCTCACTACCATTTATAGAATTTTCTCTTAAGTTTGAGTGGTGCTTTTCTATCACACGACAGATTTGATGTATTCCTCCACTTTAACCAACCAACTTGAATTCTACTAATAACATCCCCATTTATTTCACTATCACTTTGAACAAAAGACCCGATATATCTAAAATATGTATTCTTATTAATGACTTGATCACCCAAAGTCATAATCCCCCCACTAGAGCTATCACTATTAAAATTACATTCTATGTATTTGGTTTAAGATCTAATCAAATGAAAACCTTTAAACACTAATGTTGACCTCCATTATTCAAGTTTACCTTAACTTCATCTCTAGTCTTATCAGCAAGAAGAATATCATTAGCAAAAAGCATACACTAGGGTACATCCTCTTGCAAATGTATGTTAAGAACATCCATGGCTAAAGCAAAAAAGATATGTGCTTAAAGCTAATCATTTATGTAATCCAAATGAAATAGGAAAAGATTTAGTCAAATCACCTTGTGTTTAAACACAAGTAATATTACCAGCTTAGAACTCCTTTCTTTTCTAAAACTCTTCGGAGCACTTCTCTTTGAACTTTATCATATGTTTTTTCTAATTCAATAAGTATCATATGTAAATCCTTCTTATTCTCTCTATATTTCACCATGGCTAAAGCAAAAAAGATATGGGCTATGATCCTTGATGTAATCCAACTGAAATAAAAAATATTTGGTCAAAGCATGCACATGCATGCAATGTGTTTAAACACAATGTACATATGTAGATCCTCCTTACTCTCTCTTTAAGTGTCCATCAAAACTCTCAAAAAATGTATAGCTTCCATAATAGACTAACTTAGCATGAATCCAAACAAATTATATGAAAAAAAAACCTTATAATCAACGAGCCGTGGAGATGTCCAGAGACCAGGAAAATAACAGCGATGATGAATGACTGTCGGCACGACCAGGAATGCTAGGATCATTGGCAAAGTTTGGTGACTGTCGGTGATGTCCGGTGACCGTCGGCAACCTTGATCTACGGCGAGCGACTCGAGGGAGATGAGAGAAACAGCGGGATGTGACAAAACAGAATGAAATAAGTGAGTGGCCAGAGGGGCTCGGGCTCAAAAAATAGGGCTTTCACCGGCGGATTGTCTGGCGTCCGGGATGCCAGAAACAATTCTGGCGGATAATGCGCCAGATAATTTAATTTGTTGAGTTTAAATATACCGGCGCCTTCTCCGCCGGTAATGGTGCCGGTTGCTTTTCACCGTAACATGTGTTGGAACAAGTGAAATATTGGTTTATTCTGACGCACAAACCGGCGCAAATGACGTCGGAAATATTCCGGCGTGCTTTGAGCTGGAAAATAAGTCACAAATTTTCCGTCGCACGCATTGCGCCGTTACATGCGTCTTCAATACTGATGCATAAGTATCCGCCGAAAAGTCCGACGGTAATCGCATGTTTTCCCGTAGTGGAGGTCGAAGCTAAAGATTTAGCTACTCTGAAAGTTAATAATTTATTTGATTATTTGACATTGTGATTTCCCAATTGTCAACTAAACTTTGCTTTAGTGTAAGACAAAATTCATTATCATTCATGTAAGAGATAAGCTAAGCTCACTAATGAGTCCACATTCTCATGTCTATGAAAACATCGCATAAGATTTTTAGAGTGAGTTAACTGTTTTCTTTTCATTGAAATTTCTCAATCATAGTGACTTATCACCCTTAGTACATGTGGATCATGAATAACATTAAATGACTAAAGATTAAATCATTCTAAACTTTACCTTGTTGCTTTGAGGCATTCCTTTTTGTTTTAATATTTAATCTGTTCATTAAATATGTACATAAATAATTTTGGAATCAGGTGGTTTGGTCAACTGATTTCATTAAATGCTTATTTAGTGATATGCACATGTACACTCATTATGCCACCTAATTGTCTTGTATGCTCTCATCTAATTCGTGAACATGTGTCAAACTATATATAAGGGTTTATTTGTAACTATTAATAGATGATTTGGTTAAAAAAAGGGGTATGTAATTTTAATGCTTTATTTAATGATATAATTCCAACATATACGTTACATTTGCATGCATTTAATGGAATCACGGTCCAAATTATTAAAAAAAATGCAAAACGCCTGGGATTATCTTCATAACTTATGGATAGTGCATCGATTTCACATGTGTAATTTGAACAAGGTTATTTCTATGATTTTTGCGTATAATATTAGGTGTCCAATTCAACATATACATTACATCATATATATCTCTATCTTGACGAGTTAGTTGCATTCATTTGCATGTATTGTTCTACGTGTAGGTCATTACATAAACCTTATATCGCCACATTTTTACCTTGATGTTCACTCATGATTATTATTAATAGACTTGCTTAAACATACTCTATTTTTGTTACTTGCAAGGATCTTACTTTCACGCCTTGGTTGGCAAGTCAAGTTTTCCCGGGCCTTTGGAGAGGCTCCTTCGTTGTGCTGGGGTATACGCATATGCTCTTGCTTTTTTTTAATCATGTCTAATTTCTGCAACTCTGTTAATATCTTCTCTCTTATTGTGACTAATGGTAACACTTGTACATACTGTGAACAGTTATTTTACTTTCACCTGCTAATATATGGTAGAACCGTATTATACATTAGCCATAGGTTAGTGCACTAACGAAGCCTTGACCTTGTTGCCCAAGGCTTTCCTTGTTTATAAACCTTAGAGATCTTCATATGGTCGCTTGGACTTGTAGTGTAAGCCAACTATTTGTGTCATATGCATCATTGTTTTTTCGCAAAAAGGGGATCTTGCTAGGATGCTCTCTTTGGGTTTTAAAATACCGAAGTAACGTTAAAAATCATCTTAATGATTTTTGGGCCTTTAATTATTATTTCTCTGAACATAATTAAGAATGTGAAAATCAAAAAATAAAATATGAGCTTTAGTATGTTAGGTTGATCTATGTATTGATTTAATTTTGTGGGTCTTTTTGTAGGCAATATATTAGACTCTATTATCTCAGTCTACTAGTATAAAACCTATGTTTGAAATTTCATTTGTTGTGGGTACTAGATAAAAAATGAAAAAAACTATTTGAAAGATTTTATACCACTTATCCCATCAATAGGGTTATCAAAATAAATAAAATAAAATAAATAAAGTTAATTAAACAACAGGGTGATTATTGAGTAACTCGGGCTTACGAGGTTATTAAGTTAGCCCCAAAGAGGGTAAAATAAACCTCATAGCCCTAATGTAAACAAAGTCAATTGTCACTTAACTTAAATAATTAATTGATAAATCACTAATTAACCAATTAAATTAATCTAAATCAATAAGCTAAATCAAACATAAATTAAAAGATAATTACTAGGTAATTTTGGCTTACGAGGCTATTATGTTTTTCCCTAGGAGGGTGAAATAAATCTCATATCCTTGGCTTAACAAAGTCTATTATTATTCAACTTTAATAATCAGTAATAAATTATTCATAAATTGAAGCTTTCATAATCTTTGTTATATTCAATTTGTAGAATAAATGTGTATCTGATTCATAAGACTTTAAGGGTTAAAATGACTAACAAATATAATGTATATGTATATCTTTTATATCACCCATTTGGTTAAAAAAGTTTATATGTTGGACTATCTCGAGCTGCGAGGCTACATATTGTAAGAAGGCCTTGATCCTAATGCCCATTATAAGAATGTCATGAATGAATTGATGGAATGTAGTTATGAAATTATAAATTTTACAAAAAAAAAAATATTTTTAAAAAATTATTTTTAAATATAACATGTTTTGTTAGAGAAGTGAAGGAATTGCAAGTCAAACCTTAGTACTTTAGCCCTTATCTGATTTGTGTTCATCTTTGTATCCCCTTAATTCATGTAAGAAATATAGGCTAGACTACCTCGAGTTGTGGGATTATGTGTCCTAAGGAGGCCTCTTCTTAGTGCACGTACCTCATAAGTTAAGGAAGAAAGATCTAAAGGGTTGTACAAACTGTCCCCTATTTAGAAATCTAAAGTCACCTTTGGGAGCCCGACCCGATCCAACTCTTTAATCACCCAAATGTAAAACTTTAAGTCAAATATAACCCTTGTATGTCCTTAAGTAGAGGGTTTTCCAATTCCTTTATCGTACTTTTAAAATTGATCAATCTTAGACATAGGAAGCTTATGATTTTTATGGTGGGCAATAGGTCTGCTTTAGTGAGTATCTTATCGGCCTTATCTCAAGTCTTATGAAATCAAGGAGGGCATGGCCACCCATGTAGTTTCATAATCACTTATCTTAATTAGATATAGGATTGAGGACGGGCATTTGACTCTCAATTCTTTACAACTCTAGCATAGTCAGGTCCATGTATTTTGGCTCTATAACTTAATGAGCAAAACTACAACTCTAAAATTAAGTTAAAATTAATTCATCATAAATAATTAATCACTTAAAGAGAATCTCTGGGTTAATATATTTAACAATATAAAATTGATCTTACAACTTGAATCCTTCACCTAAATTGGGGTTATTAGTCAACACTAATTTTACACACATTTGGGTGCTAGATATGACACTTTTTTTATATGCATCTTATGATACGGTTTAGCTATGATAAAATTTTCATTTTTATTTTATTTTTTACTTTGTATTTATGATAATGTGATGTTGCATTTCTGGTTTGGTTTGTTTATGGATGTTTTATTTTCTATTTTGTGGATTGATGTGTGGACACTTGTCCCTTAAGTGGTTAGACTTTTTATAGAGATATTTCCTTTAAGTGGCCATGTTCCTAAGGGGTTAATAAAAATGCTATAATTATCATTATAAATACATTCTCTGATAGTTACTATGAGGATTGCTAAACCCTTAAGAATGTGGTTCTAAGAACTAGGTCTGGATATGAATATAACTATCTAATTTTAACTGTACTATTTTGTAGGGAGTGTATGTAAGTTTCTTTTTATATGTAATTTTAGTTAGGAAAATTATATAGGTATGTGGGTAATTCAGAAGGAAGGAGGCCAAATATGTGAAGATCAATCAAGATCCCACATATATTCTATTAATGTATAGTTTTAGGCTGAGTTGTAGTTATGGTAGAGTTCAACTACTATTTTTTTTCTTTTTTCCATGGGTGTATTTTAGAACCCAGTTGCACTTCATTTATTATTTATGCTTTGATGATTAGTGTGTTTATGTTATTTGAGTACTAGACATGTATAATTGTTTTAGATTTCTTTCAATGTTTTGCTTGCAGGTAGCTTAGACAGAGTCCATGTGTTAAGTTCTTAGGATGCTAATTTTCTATAAAAGTAAAATTTACCTAATCAAGATAAAATAAACATAGGGCTTAAAACCAACTAACCTTTCAAAATTAATGTATCCACTCTTGGGTATATCTATTAAAATAAAACTAATATTTCAAATCCAATCCATTTCGTAGTGGTTATTGACTAGTTCTGATTAACCTTACCCTTCATGCATAGCTTGAGTCAAGCATGTAGATTTTATTTTATCACATAGAGAGATAGTTCATCATTGCATTGGCATAATACTATTCATGGCTGGGCCTGATGTTCATTCCCCTTTTGTATACCACTCTTGCATTTGCATCACCCTGAACTGCATGTATTTAAAATGTTAGGTCAAGTTTTATCTGTACTCTTTTTCAAGCAGGGTGGTAAATACAGGTTGGTCTTCTTAGGTCCTTAGTGAAATTTAAGTTATAAGTCCCCTTGCTATCTTGCATTATTAGCAAGGTAGGGGGCATTAGTACTGAGGGTACAGTACGTCCCTATAGATTTAGGTTCAAAGGTTAGCGGTATGATTATATCGTTGCATGCTTTATTGTTGGGTAAACTCTTCATTCTTGGGAGGCTATAAATCCACCTTATTCACGTCATGTTGATGACGTCTCTTCTATCACTCTCTCTTTTTTTGCCTGACGTATGATTTTGCTTTTTTTATTTCTCCCTTCTGACCGACTAAGTGACTACATGATCTTTGTGTGTTGAATGGCCTGTTGAGCCTATCTTTCTTGGATTAGAAGAATCTAGGAATCTTACTATGCACCAAACCAAGAATAGAATAAAATAGCATATCTAATCAAGAGTGTTTTTATGCCAAGGCCTAAGATGTAATTAATTATGGTAGTTTGCACCCGTGGTAAACCGACACCCACATTAAATAAATCTCACTCGAGCTGATGTATTGAATTGGGAAAATCACGTGACTATCAAATTATATATATAATTATTCATTGAGATGTTTAGGAAAAAGCCACTATTTTCCATGGATAATCATATGTATAATTTTATCTGCTTTTTCATTGGCCTGCTTGTGTAGAGTGTTAAAGTCTGCGACAATTTTTCCTATGTTATAATGATGCCTTCAAAGACCGTTTCTTTGACTTATAAGCTCTTTCTTTCTCCTCTACTTAAGTATGGTTTTAAATTTCTTCTTCAACCCTAATTTTAGATCTATGACTCTTTCATGATCTTTTTTTTGTGGCATTAGTGGTACTCTTTTCGAGGATTTTTAACATTTTGTGGGCAATATTGTTTATAAAATATTTTCTAAGGATTTAATGGAAGCAATTGTTAGTGTTTTGTTGAAATTTGTTACACTTGAAGAAATTTAGTTATCATTTAAGTACTATATATTTTTATATTTTATTGATCCTTAATTTTTTTTGTGAAATATACTATATAATGTTTCATTGTGTGTTGCTTTTTAATAGAAAATATTGATATTAAATATTTAATTACCCATTTTATATTAATAATTTATTAAAAATGTCGTCTATGACCTATTTTTATGATTACATGGTATCGTTGAATCTATACCGCATTATGTATATTTTATGTTAGCATCTGTGCATCATACGAACGTGGCTTATGTGAAAAAAGGTTTTATACACGTGGGCTTCTCCCCCAAACCAACCACAATATACTTATTAAGTTTTTTAATCATTTCTGAAGGACAGAATTCTATGTGCAACCCATTAAATGAATGTCCATTATGTCTCTCCGTAGTTGTAAAAGACCATGACTTCTAGCTTATGCATTAATTTCAGTGAATTAAACTAAAGATATATGGCCTTCTGACGAGCTACAATTATACTAGACTAAGATTTCTAGTTTTATTCTGATGATTGAGATAGAATTGAAGTTATAAATGAAATATTCAAGTTACAAATGGAGTTTTCAAGTTTATTTTTTATCTCAAGCATATTATTCCATGTAAAGGTGCTATGGGAGGTGCTGAAGAATAAACTTTCTTTCTTTAGTAGTATTAAATATGTTCTTTGTTTTAGTGTCGCAATGTAATAATTGAGAAGAACATCACAAAAGATGGAGTCACAGTTGCAAAAAGTATTGAGTTTAAAGAGAGAGCAAAAAATGTGGGGGCAAACCTTATAAAGCAGGTTGCTAATGCCACAAACAAAGCTGCAGGAGACGGTAAAATATTTCATGAATTTATTGTTGGTGTTATGAATCTTTGCCATTTACATTATAGGCCTTGAATATTGGATTTACTTCCTATCCTGTTTTATCATCAGTTTTTTTTTTTGTCAGGAAAAATGTATTCGTCATATAACACCTGAATATTAGCACTATGGTAGGAGTAGACAGAAAATGTGAACCTTGGTTAACAAATGATTGTTTGTTTGGTAAGAGCTATCTTGAAAAATATGTACTGAGTTTGATTAGTTAGAATCCTATCCTAGTTTGGCCAGAAAACTCACCATGAAAACCCCAAATATTACCTTCTATTTGTTTTTAAATAGAAATACACACTATTGGTACCTTTTTAAAGCAATATTATTTGTGAACACTTACTTGTTAACGTACATTGATTTTTTAATCAAAACTTTCTAGTAATGTGGAAGCCTTTTTGGATTTTCTGGTCATATTTGCAGCCAGGGCATTAAGTATGGGCATTTTGGTCAAATCATAACCTTTCAATCATCTAATATGGAGTTATCTTCCATGAGTTTACGTACACTCATGTCCCAATATTTGCGTTAGGAAAACACAAGGATATTGATTATCAAGGCAATGAAGTTCTATGTAAAATTTCTACCTTTAGGGGTAGTTTGTTTGCAAGTATTAGTAGTGTAGAGTTAATCAAATATAGGTGTTTTTAAAATTTAAGTCTTTGATTTGAAGAAAAGCAAATGTAGTAATATTCTGTGTGATTTGGAATTCTCTATTTAGTTTATTTTCAATGTTGTTGCCAACCTCCACCACCACCAGCCGCCTCCTGCCTCCAATTCCGCTTTAACATAAAAATATTTGTTTTACTTTGCAAGAAACAAACATAAAAAGATTAATCTCCTAAATTTCTTTTACTAAGCATCCAAACTATACAAAATATTTTGAATACATTATTTTACTTTATATTGTATTTTGAATAGATTGAATTTTCAAATACTTGTAACTAAACAAACCCTTAGAAATTTCTTTTGCTCTACAATTTACAATTCCTCAGAATCCATTGGAAATTAATCATCAATAAAGTTCTCGATTTGGTTGCCAATAGTGACTTGTTTTGGAATAGGTACCACTTGTGCAACTGTCCTCACTCAGGCAATACTTGCTGAAGGGTGTAAATCTGTTGCAGCAGGAGTTAATGTCATGGATTTGCGAAATGGTATAAATATGGCTGTGGATTCTGTCCTAGCTCATCTAAAATGCAGAGCATGGATGATTAGTACTTCAGAAGAGATTCACAGGTTGAGAGTGTTGCTGGCATGCTTATAAGTTAAGTTTCTTTGTTTCTCTGTGTTGACAAAAATTAAGCTGATGGCACACCGTTTGATTAACTGACAATAATGCTTTCATCTTTGAAATATGGAACTATATTGAGCTTATTTCAATGTATTTTTGTTCTTTAGTACTTTTTAAGCTATTTTTAATTTATATTCTATCACTTTATCTTTATGTCATCTTTATCTTCTTATTCTTATTGGCTCTTGTTAAATTTGATACATTAACTACAGTTTTTTGATTAATGTGCCCGCATAATCAGGTAGCAACCATCTCTGCAAATAATGATAGAGAAATTGGGGAGTTGATAGCAAGAGCAATGGAGAAAGTTGGCAAAGATGGAGTTATTACTATTTTAGTCAGGCTCATCAGAATTTCTATATTAAAATTTAATTTCTTGGTGTTAACGTCATGATTTAATATCTCTTATGTATCTTAACTAATAGGAAGGAAAAACACTGCACAATGAACTTGAAGTGGTTGAGGGAATGAAATTAGTGAGAGGCTATGTATCTCCCTATTTTGTTACTGATGAGAGATCTAAAAAATGTGTAAGTACATTTTAATTATTAGACTATTTTGCCTTGATGATTCTAGAATGTTTCTTTTGCTAAGTGATCTTTAGTCATTTAAGAAAATTAAAATGCTCATCTTGCAAATAAATAATTCTCGCATATGCTTATTTGCATATCATGCCAATTAGGAATTAGAAAATCCCCTAATTCTAATTCATGACAAGAAGATTTTAGACATTCATATGGATCATCTAATTTGAATTTTGGAGCTTGCTTTAAAGTGTTGCAGATCAATGGTTTATGATTTTGATGATAACAAACATTCTTATTTTCTCTACGACTGTCTTATGTACTGACATTTCAGGTTCACATGATCGGACTGCAATTTGGAATCAGCTCAAGATTGGGTAGACTAGGTCTGAGACAGTTTGTACATTTTTCCTTTCTTGAGTCTATTGTATTTGGTGTGGCTCCTGATGTTTTATAACTTGGAAGATTTTCTGTTGCTCCCTAAAGATTTTTGTTTTTGGTAACATCATCCGGGACGATATTTATATCATCCTGGACGATTTTTCCAAAAGTTGAAACCCTAATTAGGGCATCCTCATTAAAGCAGCCGTCATTATGCAAAAAACATTGTTCTGGATGATTTTGTATCATCTAGGATGATAGGCTCAATTCAGAAAGAATCTGTCGCCAGATCTATTTAGAAATAACCTATTTTTGGACATTGTCCAGGTGGATCGTCCAGGACTATAAAATATCGTACAGGATGATCCAAGTCAATTTTTCCAAAATTTCTCTAAAATTTAAGGAAAGCAATTATGATTTGATTTCACGATCAAATCGGCATGGACAATCGCCAGATCGTCCTGAACGATATGCTAAACGATTGGTCATTGGATAACAGTTTTTTAGGGCGATATCGAGGACGATATTCCAAAATTTGTACTGATTAACCAGGATGATATATTATCATCCTGGATAATATACATAAAATTCTTATGATCATCTCAAATCATCCCGGCTGATTGGGCTTAAATTATACTGATCGTGCAGGACGATATGCCAATTGTCCTGGATGATAATGTCGGCAACTTGCATTAATGAGCTCATTTTGAGAGCTTCTATTTAAGCTTTATCATGACACTTTTGTAAGTGTCTTTGGCAGCCATTATAGCTTCGTTCTTCTGGGGGAAACTTGAAGAGAGAGCTTGAAACGGAGTGAGGAACGGGTGGAGTTTGTGAGAGAGAGAAGATCCTATGAGGGGGGACTCAAGGGAGTTTGGAAGGAGTTCCACATGGTTGCTCTGGCAAGCTTGCACCTGAATACCATCGAATTCAATGCTTGTCTCGAGGGAAGTTCACCAAAGAAGAAGATCTCTTTGGTGTCAAAGAACCCAGCGACTCCGCCGCACCGGGGAAGGTGTAAGTGATTTTTTAAGGGCTTCTCCGCCTAGCTGTGGGGGCTAAAGGAGAGACACTTAGTTTAGTGAAATACTTGGAGGGTGCCTCCAAGGAGTGGACGTAGGTCAAGGTTTTACCGAACTAATATAAATATGGTATGTTCTTTCTTATTTTTGCTTCCACATTATTTTCTTCCGCATTTGATTTCTGTGGTGATTTTTATTTAAGTTTTATCTAAGGTTTTAAATTTATCCAATTCACCCCCTCTCTTTGTTAGACTTGGGCCAGTTCATAAGGGCTTAACATCCCTAACAAACTTTCTAGTGCCATCAGAGCACTTTCAAGTAGTATCTGAGCACTTTTTAGTGTCATCTGAGCACTCTCAAGTGGTATTAGAGCCGGATTCATAAAATAAGTTTTTAAAAGCTTTTGAATTTCGATCCATGGCTAATTTTTCAAATCATAATATTACGGAAGGATATTCAATCACTAGACCACCTTTATTTGAAAATATTACTTTTGATTTTAGGAAAATTTGCATGACTACTTTCTTTTAATCGATTGATTTTCACATGTGGCATATGATTTTAACTGGTTATTCAACACCGTCATATATTGTTAATGGAGTTAAAACTGATTTTCCTTTTAATCAATGGAATAGGAAAGAATAAGTAAATGCTCAATTGAATGCAAAATCTTTAAATTACTTTTTATGTGCTTTAAATTCTGAAGATTTTATGTTAGTATCTATGTGCACTACTAGTAAGGAAGTTTGAGATAAATTAAACACTATATACGAAGGCACTAGTGAAATCAAACAATCCAACTTGAATATGTTAATGAATGATTTTAAACTGTTTTCCATGAAACCTTTTGAAACGATCTTAGACATGTATACCAGGTTCATTCAAATTATAACATCATAATATGCCTTAGGAAAAGAATTTTCAAATTTTGAAAAATTTAACAAAATTCTTAGCTATTTACTTGAAAATTTGATGCCAAAGATGTTGCTATTTATGAATCAAAAGATTTGAATAATTATTCTATTAATAATTTGATTGGCTCACTCATTGCCTACGAGCAAAGTTTGGGTGAAAGACTTTTGAATACAGGTGAAATGATTGTTCTAAAAGCTGAAGATATAGAAAGAAATAGCTTAGTTGGTAATGAATGCAATGACTTGTTAAGAAAATCACAAAGCTCACCAAAGTATAAGCAAAGTGGAAAAAAGGTAAAAATGGTAAGGATGTTCATATTCCTTCTTACGTTATTTGCTTTTGATGTAGGAAGCCTGGACATATGAAAAATCAGTGCCCTAATTTAAAAATTCTTCCTACGAAAGAAAAGGGCAAAGCGAAGCAAAATTTAAACTGTGGAAATAATGAAAGGCAAAAAATCTCTTGGGCAGATCTGGTTTTTGAAGCATCAGACCAGCAAAGAGATAATGGCTAAAAGCCTTTCGTGTTTTTATGTTGTGTTTTTGTTTTTATATTTTTTATTTTTATTTTGTGTTTCTGTGTTGTTTATTCTTTAAAATTTTTGTTTTCGTGAAAGTTTTTCTCTGATCAACACACACATTCACTTTTCTAAAAATGAAAAATCTACTTCCTATTTTTTCTTGAAATCTTTGGTAAGTCGTGTTTGACTTCTCTAAACCAGTCAAAGGAAGAAAACTCATGTTTTTGACTCTCAATCTCTATTTCCTAAAAGAGGTTATTCTACTTTTGATTTAAAATCTTTTTCATCTTTAAATTAGTCTTTGAAATTAAAATTTTTTATCTCCTTATATTTTATTTATCGCATAGGGATCTTTTGCAAGTTGTTGAATCTAACTCATAATTTTCTTAATCAAGAATTTGTTTTATCAATATGATGGGTTTACTTTTATTTTTAATATTTCAGAAAGGTAGCATATTAAAAAAAAATGGCCAATGATGCCAAAAATAAAAGATGCGCAATGACGCCAAATTGAAAAATATAACAAAAGTGTATCAAATAATCAAAAGATGCGTAGTGTGCGCCAACCATATGTCAAGAGGCATAAAATGAGCCCACAAGTTTAATGCTTACCATTCTTGTACTTCTTAAAGCTTAAGAAAACCCTTATATACTTTCGATACTTGAGTTTGAAAATCTTGATTCTTGATTCAAACAATCCGTGCATTGATCTTCTATTAATATATTTTATGGAAGGAGTTTTGAAAAGTTTAGTGTTTTCTTTTCTAATTTATTCCTTGATTTAATATTGAATTAAAAAGTTTTTTGAGCCTTTTTTAAAGAACTTGAGTTTGGATTATCAAATTTTTGAATTTCTAACCTTTTCTGGGCTATGTGTTGTCAACCAATTCTACTAAGTTTTTGATTAAAACTAAGAGGTAACTTTCTCATTTTAAGAATATTTGCTTTTTCACTAGATCAGGGAATGTTTTTTTTTTCTTTTGTTTATTTTGTTTTTTGTGCCTCCTCTCTTTTTGATAATGTCAAAGGGGGAGAACGTAATGTTGAATTTGTATCCTTTTTTTTCCTTTTCAAAAAATTAAAAACAATAAATTTTTTTTTATCTCCCCTATTTTTTAAAAGGGTTTACTCTAGTGAGGGGGAGATTAGGAGAAATTGATTTTTTTGAAAATTCAAATTGAATTGTTTGCCATAATTAAAAAGGGGGGGATTGTTGTGAATCAATTGTTTATGATTTTGATAATAGCAAACATTCTTTTTTCTCTATGACTGCCTTATGTACTGAAATTTTAGGTTCACACGATCGGATTGTAATTTGAAATCAGCTCAAGATTTGGTAGACTAGGTCTGAGTCAGTTTGTACATTTTTTCCTTTCTTGAGTCTATTGTATTTGGTATGGCTCCTAATGTTTTATAACTTGAAAGATTTTTTGTTGCTCCCTAAAGATTTCTATTTTGGGTAACATCGTCCGAGATGATATTTATATCATCCTGAATGATCTTTCCAAATGCATAAACCCAAATTAGGGCATCCTTATTAAAGCAGTTGTCATTATGCAAAACACATCATCCTGGATGATTGTGTATTGGCCAGGACGATAGGCTCAATTCAGAAAGAATCTGCCATCAGATCTATTTATAAATAACCTATTTTTGGACATCATCCAGGACTATAAGATATCGTCCAGAACGATCCAAGTCAATTTTTCCAAAATTTCTCTAAAATTTAAGGAAAGCAATTATGACTTGATTTCACGATCAAATCGGCCTAGACGATCGCCAGATCGTCCTAGCCGATATGCTGGACGATTGATCATCGGATAGCTATTTTTCAGGATAATGTCAAGGACAATATTCCACAATTTGTACTAATCGTCCAGGATGATATATTATCGTCCTGGACGATATGAATAAAATTCTTATGATCATCTCAAATCGTCCCGACTGATTGGGCTTAAATTGTACTGATCGTGCAGGACGATATACCTATCATCCTGGATGATAATGTCGGCAACTTGAATTAATGAGCTCATTTTGAGAGCTTCTATTTAAGCTTTGTCAAGGCACTTTTGTAAGTGTCTTTGGCAGCCATTGTAGCTTTGTTCTTGTGGGGGAAACTTGAAGAGAGAGCTTGAAAGGGAGTGAGGAAAGGGTGGAGTTTGAGAGAGAGAGAAGATCCTATGAGGGGGGACTCAAGGGAGTATGGAGGTGGTTCCACCCGGTTGCTCCGGCAAGCTCGCACCTAAATACCGTCGGATTCAAGGCTTGTCTCGAGGGAAGTTCACCAAAGAAGAATATCTCTTTGGTGTTAAAGGACCCGGCGACTCCACCGCATCGGGGAAGGTGGAAGTGATTTTATAAGGGCTTCTCCGCCTAGCTGTGGGGGCTAAAAGAGAGACACTTAGTTTAGTGAAATACTTGGAGGGTGCCTCCAAGAAGTGGATGTAAGTCAATGTTTGAAAGAATTACAATAAATCTGGTATGTTCTTTCTTATTCTTGCTTCTGCATTATTTTCTTCCGCACTTGATTTCTGTGGTGATTTTGGTTTGAGTTTTATCTTTGATTTTAAAGTTATCTAATTCACCCCCCCCCTCTTTGTTAGGCTTGGGCCAGTTCATAAGGGCTTAACATCCCTAAAAAACTTTCTAGTGCCATCAGATCACTTTCAAGTGGTATCAGAGCACTTTTTAGTGTCATCTGAGCACTCTTAGAAAGGTATCATCTTTTTTAGATTTTGATTATCTCAAAGCATGAGCGCAAAAGTGAGCTTTGCATGAACATTGTTATCTATCTACAGAGAAGGAGAGCTTTGTTAATTATTGATGAATATCTAGAAGGTGATGATTTGACAATGCTTGTACTAAATAAACATCATACGGGGATGAAGGTAATGCTATCCTTTATTAAGCACTCAATTTGGAACATGATATTGAATAGAAATATTGTACTAAGGATTTTTAGCCTTATCGTAACTATTTTTGGTTTGTTATTTGCTGAAGGATTTGTAACATATAAATGTTAGAATAGTATAGTGCATTATGAATTTTGACTTATCCCAACTATTTTTGTCCCCAGTTTACTCATGGATTTATGAAAAGGAATAGGACAAATAATGTGTGAAAGGTGCCACTATTTTGTTATCATTTACACTGCTACCACCTATTTTCATGTTTTGTTATTTTTTAAAAGAATGTATCTTGATATTACTTTGATTGGTTGTATAATACTTGTTTTAGCATCAGATTTGTGCCATTAAAGCTCCTGGTTTTGGTGAAAACAGAAGAGCTAATCTAGAGGATCTTGCTATTCTTACAGGGGGCCAGATTGGATGCACTTTAAGCAAGAATTCTTATTACTCTTGTTGTGCTCCATCTTTCTACTTAGTGATTTAGTTTTTCTGTACCAAATTTGATGTCCAGGTTATCACTGAGGATCATGATCTCACTTTGTCAAATGCACAATTAGAAATGCTTGGGACTGCTAAGAAGGTGCATAAATCATGGTGTTTTTATAAATTCAAGATTGTTTAAGAATTTAAGAATTTAAAATAAGACTTTAAATTCAAATATTCTAAGCTTTTCTTTGGCCATTGAATAAACAGGTTACTGTCTCACTTGATGATACCGTTATTCTGCATGGTAGTGGTGACAAAAAGCTAATTGAAGATAGATGTGAATAGGTAAACTATAAGTACTTACACATGTTGGTTTTCTCTTACAACAGTTTTCATGCCTATAATTAGGGGTGCCACTTAGATTATTTTGGATGGGTTCCAACAATCTCAAGTTCTCAAATTTATGTATATTTTTTCATCTGAGCATTGTCCAAAATGGAAAGGAAATAAAATGAAAAAAGTATTTTTAAACTTCATTTCTTGGGTAAATACTCTTAAATATTCTCAAGTGTGGGTTTAATGGAGGAAATTGCAAGAGCTGGCACTTTTGTTTCATGGTATCCTCAGTGAAACCCAAATTATCACAGCACTCAGTGATGGTTAGGTGTCTGATGGTCCCTCTGGAAAAAGTATGTGGTTATCTGCAGCCAAAGAAGGGACCAACGAAAGAATCCTTAATATTGAATTGGGCTTTTCCAATGTGGTCCACCACTCATAGGAAGAATAGTGTGGTGCGCTTATTCATAAAATTGAGCTGACAAATGAAATGCTAGGTTTCACTATGGAAATATTGAGGAATATGAATCTATACATGCACACATATAATTTCTTTTGGTTATTTGCTATTTGTGCTTTTCTTGTTGTTTGACTACGTCTTCGTTTGGCATAGCTTTTGGCCACAAGCTTTTTTGCTGCTTTCAAAAAAAATTTATATTAAAAAATTGCTATAGAAAATACAAAAAAATTTCAAAAGAGCGGAGCGATCTTGATGCGGAGCGGAGCGGTTCGTTCTTGACGGAGAATCGGAGGAGGAGGCCTTGACGAAGAATCAGTTTTTCGCATATTTTGGATGATCGTTGGCATCCGATGGTTCTCCGTCGGCCTGATATGGCCGACGGAGCACCTTGGTTCAATTCTGGTATCTCTAACTTATACAGAGATGTGATGTTGATTAAGATTTATCCGGTAGAGGTTCTTTTTTGGACCAATGATTTTGCTGAGTTGAAATCATTTTTCCATGATTTCTGCTTGCCGATGGATCTCTATTTGTGTGGTTTGGCTTTTGGTAATGTGGGATTTGGTTATGCTACTAGTATTAATTTCTTGATTGATTTTTGTGAGATTTCAAATCTGAAGGTGCTTTTGGAGGAATTTTTATGTTGGTTTTTTGGTTCCTACAACATTATTGGGAACGAAGTTTATGCTGGGGTTAACTCCTTTCTCACGAACATTAGCTATTTTTCGGGTTCAATTTGGTATATGGATCTTCTTAATTCAATAATTGGTTCAAAAATATTCTTGATGAGTGATCATTTGATGATTATGATTTTGATGGGGTTTGGGTGTTTGGATTATGAAGGAGGTTCTTACTATTTTAAGATTCCAGTTTCTTTTCAATTCTTGAAGATTCTTGGAGTCATTACTGTCCGATGGATAATTTTCAGTCCGCTGGTTGTGGATGAACATAATTCTGGTTTGTTTGGAGCTGGATATGCAGTCATTTGGAAGTTGGTTTTTGGTAATACCGATGTTACTCATTTGTTCTATAAGGATTATGTTATGTTTGAGGTCACCTCTTGGCCTATGGATGTTGGAGCTGTTGTTATTGCTTTATCAACATCATTTGGATCTTCTAAAGGGTCCGGCCGTGGATCATCAATGTTGAGGGAGTTTTTGTTGGTTGATGTTTGTAATAATGAGGTGGTTGTTTGGTCACTCATTTTTCTATTGTTCTTTGAAGATCAAGTCTTATTTGTTAAATACTTGAACGACTTGAAGTTTTTTGGTTATTCTCTTGTCAATGTGATGAGAGTGGTGATGATTATCAGTTCGATTGGCTTTGGCAATGAGGAGGCCGGTTATTGGCTTCTTGAGGCTGTTATTGATATTATGACTTTATATTGTAATTTTACTGGTGTTGTTCTTGCCAGTATGATGAGTGTGGTGACGATTTTCAGTTTGTATGACTTTGCTTGTGGAGAGTCTGATTCTTGGACTATTGAGGAGGGAGTTGGTGTTATGGCTTTATCGTCGTTGATTGGTTCATTCTTGGTGGCTATTGTTGGCTGTGTTGATGCTACAACAACAAATTCTACTCTAGTTTGGAGCTTGATGGTCCCTTTGTTTGATGAGGGTCTAGTTGAAGTTTGGATAGCTGGTTTAGTAGTTGCTTTTATTTTTCTTGTAACTAGTTATCCTTTGATTATTTTTCTTTAAAGTTTCTTATACCTTTTTAAAACCATTATAATGAAATATGGGATTTTTATTAGGTTTCATTTTCCATCCCTTGGGAAAGCTGGGATACTAACCAACCTGTTACAAATCTATTTTCATGACTTATGTTTTGATAATTGACAAACACTATTGATTCTCTTGGACTGCCTGTTACTTCTAACTTTTCAGGAATCGAAGATCGGACGAACAAACGAAGCCAGTTCAAGATTGCGTAGGTCTAGGGTTGAGTCAGTCTGTACTTTATTTTTTTCTTCTTGAGTCTATTTGTAATGGTCAAAGAGATTGATGCTAAGTAACCCTACACACACACTTGAGAGACTTAGAAATTCTATTTTTACTCATATCGGCCAGGACGATATTTACATCATCCTGGACGATCAGGCTTAAAATATAAACTCTAAATAAGGATTCTTAATTAAGGTAGTCATAATTAATCGATCATCCTAGATGATACGTGTATCGGCTAGGACGATAAGCTCAAAATAGAAAGAAGTTGCCGCTATAGACAATTAAGGTATACTGTATTTTTAAATAATCGGCCAGGACGATCATTGATCGGTCTGGACGATAATCAAAAATCATACCTTAATTGATCAGGAAATCAACGGAGTAATTAAGGATGATTGATACGATCATATCGTCCTAGACGATCGCTGTTGACCTCATTATTTGAGGTTGATTTCCCCAGCATCAATATCTAGCTCCTAGGTTTCCGTAACCTAGCATAGACGTCATCCAATAGGATTTCCCTTAGATGGATGCCCACTGACGTAGCATCGACTCGAACCTATCACTCAACTCAAATCAGGCTCGATTTTTGATTCATCGATGTCGATCGACTCAATCTAATTTATTTTCGATCAAATTGATACATTATTGGGCTCAAATCAATTCACCAATCGAATCAAAATCAAATCAAATTAACTCAAATTGAATTCGATTTCAATGGCTTCGATTAACCCGTTTTGACTCGTCACAAGTATATATATAATAATAATTGATACATCGTCAAAAATTATCTTAATCAGGCACGAATCTCGATGCCAAATCAAGTTTGGAAACTTCAAAAATTAATTCGGAGACCATCCGAACTCCGATTTTAGCAAACTTACAGTCGAACTGAGCGTCAAGGGAATACAAACCCAACGACACCAAGATCAACCCAATCCGAGCCCAAATGAGTCCAAATCAATGGCTCAAAGTGCTGTTGGAAGGTTCAAACCGCAATTTGAGTTACCAAACATTCTCCGATTTTGACGAGTTTATACTCGAATCGAACGGCTCGATGAGACAAATCCAATGAGCCCAAGATAACTGAATTCTAAAATCATTAAAACCTACAAATGTCCAACGAACGGTCCACGGTCAAACGGTTCAGCAACATCCCATAACCACCCACTCTCCCTCTCCCTCAACCCATAACCACCCACTCTCCCTCTCCCTCAACCCAAAAACCGTCCAAGCCTACCTCCTCTCATACATGACACGTCCAAGCCTCCTCCTCTCATACATGATACGTCCAAGCCCCTCCTCTCATCCAATCTCCAGCCCTAGGAACCCCAAATGAACCCCTCTATGCTACGGCTTGTTCAACCAGAGACAACAAAAAGTGGTAAACTTTCTTTTTTAATTTCTCTTCCGTTTCATTTATATCAACTTCTACAGCTTCATGATGGAATGAAAAAGATATGTGCCTTGATTGTTTTCTTTAAAGGAAATTAAAGAAAGAGGATTTTATTTTTTGTTAGTTAAGATAAGAGTTGGATCATGAGTTTTCTATGATTCAAATTTCTGTTAGATTTACAAAAGTTTATGGATCATTTTTCTCTTGATTAAATAGTTTTGTCCTTAACACAAATGATTTTCGGGTTGGGGAGTTTAATGGCTGCATTTCTCATTTAGTTTGAAAGAGTGATTGTTATTCTTCAAAAGCAAAATAAGAAATATTGATGGATTGTCTTTCTTCATAACCTGTTGGAGAAGATCGTAGTTACATTTATTATTTCTTTGAATTTAACATATGCTTGATAATGATGCTAGATATGATGATTCTTTTACAACTAGATAGCTTTTTCTTACATCATAAATAAATTTTAAAATAGTTTATTGCTATGTTGTATACTAATGAATATATTGTCGTTTCATGTGCTATTTGGAAAGATGAAGGTTGTATATTTTGGAAGGCGGAAATGTGAAGTTTTTGTAAAGTAGAGAGTATGATTTTTGAAAGTGAAAAGTGTAGGTTTTAAAGGATGGTGTTTGTGATAGATGAAGGGTAAAGCGTTTTGTGTATAAGTAAAGAAGTAAAAAGTGTATGTGTGCATAGTTGTGTTTCATTTTATGCATATATGTTTTCTTCTCATATTTTGAGAAAAGCAAGTGGTTTTATTTTGAAAAATATTTTATATGTTTTAAAGTGTAGATAAGTGTGTGCATGTGAAATGTATGAGCTTTAAAAAGTGAAAATGAAAAGTATATATATTTTAAAAATGAAAGTGTGTGAGGTTTGGGAAAGGAAGTGTATGTCTTGAAGGGTGTTGGAGAGTGAGTGCTTTCAGTAATCATTAGGAAATGAAGTTTGTTTGGTCTAAAGGTTGAAATATATGTTAAAAACATTTTGTGTGTAGTTTGAAAAGTGAATTTTGTGGGTTTAAAAAAAAAGTGAAAAGTGGAATGATATGTTTAAAAGTGAATTGTTTGAAAAGCAAAATTGTGGAGTTTGTATGTATATGAGCTTGGTTGTATGTGTTGGAAGATGTTCATTTTGAAAAGTAGATTAAGTAATTTTGAAGAGTAATTTATGTTCGATTTAGAAATGTGAAATTGTGTAT